AGACAAGTCTGGTACCAATTAACCGACCCGGAGGACGACTCACGACCCAGGATTTGATCCCGAACCGCTCGCGTGGTAAGCGTGTCACTTGCCACTACACCACTTCCGCCCTCAGCTCACCTCAAGCGAGGTAAAAACAGAGCGTCATTCATGCTTTTTCAGAGAATGCGTATTCAAAAAGCATCATAAAGGTGGAGTTAACGATTTGAAGGCAGCCCATTAGAACTAAGGTAGAGGTGGTCAGTGGTTAGGGATGAAGAAAAAGCCATGAAAAACGGCCCAGAACCCGAGAAATGGGACCCCTTCCTTGCCCGTTGATTTCCGCATTGATGCGACTCTCATCGGTGCTGCCCTCTTCAACGCTAACGCTCTCTCTGCTGAACTCTAGAGGCTCAGACACGACGACGCCATAGTGGGTGTACTGGGCCAATGCGCGGCAATTTGACCGCGGGGAGGGTCATGCTAGATCGCTGGGGCATATCCTTTGCTGCGAATTGGATATCGGTCAACAGCCTAAGGGGTCCATCTGTCCTTCCACTAGTTAAACTTCCCATTATTTGACCTTCGACTATCGTGGAATCCTCCTTCAATGCCCTAGAATTTTCTGAGGTACCCTCTATGAAGTAAATTTCCTCTTCCCGTTCCTGGAAACTCTAGCGGCATATAAAGGCCCTTAAACGAAGGCATGCTGGACTTGTACTAACTGCGCAGGTGGCCAGGCTCTTCATAGCGCACCATCTACACTTCTATTGATACTTGGGCAATCGTACTGACTGCTTTCTAGATTTCAAAGAACGCATAGAGTTGTTGCGAATTCTTATCCAGTTTTTTTCTGAAGGCGTTCTTCGAATTGTGCAGTAGAAATGCGTTTGAAAACTGAAATTTTCGGTGTACTGCTCATTATGGATAAGCATAATACCCAAGCGAAATCTTTTCAGTAACTCGTCACTTCGTTGCTTCGAGCAAAAGACGCCAGTCCAGCCATGTTCGTCAACCCATGGGAAGCCACTGACAAATCCCTAATAGAGAATGGAGGTGAGTTCCGATTTTTAACAAACTATCCTTCCATTTTATGAACCGATCACTTGGCGAGTCGGGTCCTGGTCCCGGTTCGAGCTTGACGAGCTGACGTATCGTGGGCCATTACGACATTATCTAAACGCTGGTCGGAAGAGGCCTTGCATAGAGAGCTATTCTCACTAGCAAGCTAACACCAGTAAATTGACTGAAAACTAGGTAGCAGCTTCTGGCTGGAGCGATTACGGTAAGCCTTCTCGACCCAGATTGTGATGGCAGATGTGACGTCATATTCTGAAAGCGACTGTGACTGCAGTATAGGGGCTTGTCTCTGCTCATGGGGACAACTATGAAATGTTGTGCCATTGAATTACCTCCCTGAGCAACCACAAAATTTCGTGATGCGCGCCACGTGTGAATGACTTCTTGCTGCCCCTCCCTCCCCCAGTATGCCGAAGATGTTCAAAAGCTTTGTTATTTGTAGTTTGAAGAAGTGCAGGAGTGACCACGTGGCCATGCCAAGTATTTTCAAAAGTGAACAATTTCAGACACTCCCTTGCAAAATGGGCTTGTGCTTACATCAACGCTGCCGTTATCGTTTTGGATCTGGTTCTACCTAAGCGTTTTCTGCAATCTGCTATGTTTCGCCCTAAATGCAGTCTTCAGCGCTGTCAATATAATCGAGAGGCACAGAACCTTTAGAGTAAGTTTAGGCGATCCTTTCAATCATATTTTCAACTATTGAGATGTTCGTAAGTAATTGTTGCCTATTCAGAACTCCTTTCACACAATAGTCCTTGTGTTCTCGCTGACCGTTGTGGTGGGCAGCAGTTGCAAACTCGCCTATGTCTTCGTTGGCCTCGCTGGCGTACACTCCAAAGACTTCGACTGTTTCTCTGCTGTTGTTGACATGTTTATTTCTTATTTTTCTGCTCTTCTCATGTTCTTCATGGGACTCAATCGCTTTGCAGCGTTCTCTTCATCGTACCTTAAGGATCGCCTAATGAAAAGGTGAGTTCGAGAAAGTTCCACTTACCCTGCATTCCTCTGATTCGAGCATTCAGGAAAACTCATCTCTGGGTCCTTCTCGGACTGTCCCTCATCTCTGCACTACTCACCGTCGCCGTATTCGAAATCAGTGGAATGAAACGAGTTTTTGGTCAAAACGCTATCACTGATTACGCTAATAGATGTATTTTTGTCCAGGTATGTTTAGTAGAACATTGCAGAAACACTGGGATATCTGAATCCGTTATAGGTGTTGAGCTACTTTTTCTACGCCCTTCCACTGACCTCTTCCATTTTCTACCTCTTCGCATACAAATCGTTGCAATCTCAAAGAGAAAACGTCGTCAGTGATGCCACAAAATCTTTGCTGGACAGAGCTGAAAGATGCAACCTGAAAACGGGAATATGGATTCTAGTCACCTACCTCGTATGTTTTTTGTCTTGTCGAAGACTTATTCCAATACTAAGAGATATTATTCAACAGCATAAAAATGAAAGTAACTGAGCCAGGTGGACCATAAGGAAGAGGAAAGGGAAGGTTGCCCAAAAACACTGAAATAGGAGCCCCTATCTTGAGCGGTTGATGAGACCGCGAAACAGACCTTCTAACAAGATACGTACTGTGCACTGCGAGGGACGCTGGGCGCCATTGAGGGTGGGAATTGAGAGATGAGACAGCGTGCGACCAAACAATACGCAGACACGCCGCCGTATGGATTTTTGCATAGCGAGCACGTCAAGCAAGATTACAAAGAAAGGATAAGAGGAGTGTGGTTCTCTTGTGCCGCACAGGTTTTGTAACGCTGGAGCTTTTAATTGGTCAACAAACCGACAGTACGTTATGTTTAGGAATTAAAACTGGTTCGCTAACTAACTTTCAGCTTACCCGACTAATCACTCAATCCTACTAGGCTAGTTGCAGCAGTTCCCAGAAAAAATACAGGGTATTCTAGCGATTGAACTGATGCGCCTGCTTCCAGTCCCCACCAGTCCCCTTCTCTATTAGGCCCTTTTACTGTTGGCAGACTGGTGAAACCACAGGTTGGTTGAATCCTTAGAGTTGCTGCTCGCCAACTAGCTTAGCAGGAACGCTGATAAGCTGCGTGCTAGAATCCAAAGCAGTTTCAGGTCCTGAAGCCGACGTATTGTCGAAACGTTGACCAATAAAAAATATTCCACCCGGCTAACAACCCTTGTACCAGAAAAAGCAGCAAGCCCTAGCAAATGCCCCACAATAATAATATTACGATAGAATTTTTTAAGTTCGAACAAAAACATAGAACTTAGGGAAGATAATCAAAGAGTAGTTCGACTTGTGTTTCGCACGTGCCCTTAGACAGAAGCCAAAATGGAAGAAATACCCCCCCCCTTCCGTGCTCTTCCGTAAAAAAGGGAGGAAACAGTTTATTGCTTAAGTTTGAGAGGAGCATGGAAGTTATCGGGATAGGAAGAGCATCAATACAAAAATGTTCAAAATTGAAGGCTGATATTGAATGAAAGAAAAGTCTAAGTGTGTAAGTCAAGCAAGATTGGCTAAATTCGTGAATTAAACTCGTAGTTGTTGGTGTTACGCCAAGGATAGTAGAGGGGGTTGGGAAAAGTTTGCTGGTTCCTGTGAGCGAATGGCCACCAGGATTGTTTGTGGAAAAGTAATGACCACTGAATTGAGAAACCCTATTGATAGCTATCGCAAATTTATCTGCATATATTCAGGCCTCGCTGATGATTCACATAGCAATGCAGTTCCCATCGGTGGATGGCACATCGCTCATAGTGCTGAACTCACTTGGAACTATAACCTCTACAGCTCCTCAGCTTGCCGTGCCGCTCTCAGTGCTTATGTGCTCAAAGGAAGCTCGAGATGTCACATCACGTATCTGTTGGTCGTCAGTGAAAAGTAGCCTATCGAGTGTTTTTGGTAAACGCAGAATCAGTTCGGCTTCGTCCGTCAGAACACTTCCCATTGTCACGACTGAGACTACACCCACTTGAGTTTTGCATTATTGCTGGTTTCTTCCATTGCTACATTGATTCCATCTTGTGTTCTCAAAGACAATGACGGCGCTTATGTCGTTAGAGGGACATTCAAGTAAGTGAGCCAGTTAGAGCAGCTGGGACTGACTCTCATGGTGGGCAATGGATTCTGAGAAAGGGTGTCAGCAATTTTTGTTCTCCCTGACATTTTTCTCTCCTCTTAGCTGAGGCGGATGTCAGACTTTGCGAATCGAGCGATTCGCTAGCGTCCGCGGTCGCGTCGCGGCCAGCGCTCAATTGGCTGGTACCGCAACGCGACCGCGGACGCTAGCGAATCGCGCGATTCGCAAAGTCTGACATCGGCCTTAGTCGCTTTGTCACCTCATCGTGTTTTCAAAGGCACTACTTTGAGTATCCCCTCCCTCTCCGGGGTCATGAGCGCCGCCGCACTATCGAATTTCCTCACGCTTATTCACCGCGCAAGCATGAAAGGGAGCTGCACCGTGACTAGGAAGTGCACATCGTGACAAGTACCTCATCATTTCGTTAAGATCCAATTAAACCGCTGAATATGCATCGACTTGTTATTTCACACAATATTTCACCGTCTACGAATTGTATACAGTTTACATTTTTCTACACAATTGTTACTGTGAGCCCCCACGATGGTATTGTGTTTTGCATGTAAACTGTCTGTAATGAAGGATATTTGTTTTTGTGAGGTAAAATGCAATTATTTTCGGAATTTGGTTTTTGGTAATGTGTTTCGTGAAAACATGAATTCAATTCAGTAAAACGGAGCAAGAGCTGCAGTGTGGTTCATAGCATTCACCAAGGATTTATATTGCTCCTCGCCGCATACTTTCTGCAGCTCACTGCAAGAACAGCTGCAAATCACTTCGCCTCGTGTTTTTTAATCACGGTTTAAATATTTAAACATACCAGACGATTTCTAATTTTTAAGAGTTACGATTACTTACCATCGGCAACATGTACTTTCAATTCATCGCTGTCATCGCCACATTTGCTGCGCAGCAGGTCTTCCGACGAGCAACAGAGCATAAATAGCAGCCAGGCTGCAGGGATCATGGTTGTTCTTGCAAACGGTAATAGGAATACTTGATAATCTTCTCCATGGTACGATCCTGAAGCCTTCATGGCTCAACAGCATTGAGAGAGCAGAGCAAAACACGCTATTCTGGATTATAGGCACAACTCAGGAGGACGTTCGGTCGGTACTGTTCCCTTGGTCTATAGGATTAGGGCACTTTTAGGCGAAGTTGCAGCAGAATGATTTCTCCCGTGCATGGAGTTGCAGCGACAAGCGAGCCTGGAACCTATAAAAGTAGCCGCCGCAGCAAGTTGTTGTTTGGCACCCACTCATCTATGCTCAGTCCCTTTTTCTTAGCATGGCCGCATTGCGAAGGTGAGCAAGCCTTTAGGCTTAGCGCTTTAAACAGATTCTTTCCTCCTTTTTGACCTAGATCAACCAGGTTCCTCTAAACACTCTGATAAACAGGAGACTTTGATGAATCCGGCTGACCCAATCAAGAACCTGCTCTTCGTTTCCGTGTTGCTGACGTAAGCAAACCAGCCCTTTTGGCACATCGGCTGGGACCGTATGCTGAATGTTGGGGAGGGGATGGGGTCCCCAACGGTCGACGGTTTACTTCAACTCGGTTGGTACGATAGGAGAGTACTGACGCAAGTGGTGCAGCTGGTCCAGCAGCTCCGCCAGAAGGACCGGTTTGCTCACCCCAGGACTAAGCCTTGGAGAGGGGACGGACCCGTCCTCTCTTTAAGGCTTAGTTCTGAGGTAAGCACCAAATTTGTGGCGGTTCTAAGGACCGAGTTGAAGTTGTCCGTCCACCGTCGGGGACTCCATCCCCTCCCCAACATTCAGCATACGGTCCCAGCCGATGTGCCAAAAGGGCTGGTTTGCTTACGTCCTGAAGCTTGTTTTGAAGACACAAGCTTGTCAGCATTGCTTATTAGTATGCCCGCTCTGCATGGCCACGTTTACTGGTGGTAATGATACGTAGCCAGACAACAGTTCAAGTCTACTGGTGATTCTGTTAAACTGATTGCTTACCAGTAAGTCAGGCTGATTGCTTACAATTGCTACATATAATAGTTTCATTGCCGACACAAAAGCAAAAAACAAACTGCGGGTTTCGGCCTTGGCTTTCTGCATTATGATATACCTAGGAGCTTCAAGGCACACCGCAAGAGAAGTCAGCTGGACCAATTCTTCCAGTAGGTAGTATAACATGTTCACTGAGCTGCAGGAATATCGTTCTCCTGGCTCGAAAGCACCCGTCGAACGCTACGGACTTTATACCGCTTCGATTTTCCTCATTCGCAACATTTTTTTCTCTTCGCAACAACGTTTCTCAGGCCACTCTGCTTTCTTGCTTTGCCTTCCATCGCCACGTTTAGTGTATACTGCCTTAGCACAGCTGGATCGTAAAAATGAGTTCGAATCCATATAGTTTGGCACGCATCCTCATTATGCTCTTTCGCACCATTGCTTTATTTGTTGGTGCCAAGATGACACCAACTTGATCGTCGGAATTTGCTTCTAATATCCGTTAGCGACCACATACCGCAGCCAATAAAATCTTTGGACTGAATACCATACTACAAAATTTTTTCTTCGTATAGGGCCAGCTTTTCGGAGGACCAGCAGTGGTAATGGGATGAGGCGATCTCCACCTGTGTTCAGCAAAACTTGCACAGACGGATTGCTACAAGCCACTGTTGCCATCGAAGCTACTGAATCCGTCGTACCCGGAGAGAAGGTCGTCAAACTTTTCGACTCAGAAGCTTATGATTTCCGACCGACCGGCACCTAGAAGTTACCCGCTGAACAGCAGTTTCGCGGCGATTATCGTGGTGTATGTATTTATGAATTGTTGGATGTAGTAAAAAAGAAAACCGATTTGTGTTGGACAAAAAAAAAGTTTACAAAAAAATTGCGCAAAGACATTTCCAGACAGCCTTATATGTAACGCGATGCTCGCGCGTTATCCTGGACCGGCCTGTGAGTAGTGCAGTAGCAATCGTAGTGGGTTTCTAATATTCTCTGTGCATAACGATTTCCCTATACAGTCGCCAAAAACCGCTCATCCTGGTATGGCAATTAAAGGAAGCGATCACGCTGGCCTGGCTGCTAAACCGATAAGAACTTGAACAGAAATTTTCATTTTCCGAATAATCGTGAGATAAAAACAACGGGATCATATCAATGCCGCCATTACATCCCCTTCCTCATCGATACGTAGGTGTAGTCGTTACACGGAAGTGGGTTTCGGCGATTCATCACGCAACTAATATGGCGCCACTTCCAGTTAACGTCACCTATCGCCTCAGTGCGCAAGACCCCTACCTAATCCACTACGCAACTTTCATTACCGTCCCATAAGATTCATCGTTGCCGATTTCTCTGAATATCGAAACTCAAACGGGAATCGCGAGCCTCTGACACCCTTCGCTACCTATACCCTCTCTGTTGCTTGCCACGTCGACGTACCGAAAACAAGCCAGCGCAAACGATGTTAGCCTAATGACGAGGCTCAGCAAACCGGTAAAACATTTTCAGTGGCGTTCGGCGTTGCAGTGAGAACAAAAAAACAATGTTTGCTCCAGAACAATTACTAGAAACAGGTGAACTAACTGGAGAGAGCGAAACAGGTGAAGCACCAGGAGATCAGACGAAAAAATAACGAATTACAATGTTCCAGCAACGCAAACAAATAATCATAATCCAAAGCAGAACATACAGTTCGCATTAGATTAGAGCTTACTGTGACGACGAATGAACCACATACTCAAAAAGAGGACTAAAGGAAATAAATTTAGGAACGGAGCTCGGGAGAAGAAGGCTAATCAGTGCCATTTCATTCATCATTTCTGACTACGCCACTTCACGCTTCACGTAGGGTAGCGTGCATTCTCCAACCAACCATGCTCAAAACCCCAGCGATCAGGAATAGTCGTAGTCTGAGTCTCCATTTACTTATTAGAGGTGGGCTTAGCCACGGCAAGTGGCCTTGTTACAGTAAAGCCAAACCGAAGTCGGTCTAATCCTTTGCCGCGAGCCAATTCGAGCGTTTGAGGGTCTGGTGCCGCTATTTGGTGGAAATGTCCCTCCTTATTCACTATCGGAATCGCCGTACCACCTGCCCTTGAGGTCTTGATTCGTCGTCTATATGATTTGCAAGCTCAGGATCGAAAGCCCCACCGTCCAATCGAGAATAGCCTTGTACTCTATGTCACGACGTTTTCCGATAACTGGACCTCACAGATTGTTCTTTGACTGCTTTATATTTTTGACCAGTCTTGCACAACAATTAATGTTGTCCAAAAATTGTCGTATTGGTTATAAACAGCTGTAACCTATTATGGGTGACGTCCAGACACCTCAACAATGTATATGGAAAACAACTCTGAGTCCGCCTACAGACCCACTGCATACGTTTCACATTTATGAGGGGTGACTTTCGTAGTTACTAGTGACGGTCATCGTCAAAGTAATTCTGAACTCAAGCCAATATATTGTTTCTTTGTTTACACTGCACCAACACTGCACTTTCGGCATCTAATTCATTTAATATACTGTACTGGGAAAGCAAAGGGAAAAGAACCACGCTTACTTACGTCTACTTTTCAGTGATTTATCCAGCAAAACATCTTCATTAACGATCAACGATGTTCTTCGATTCTTCAGATTCAACAGACACTCTTTCAGGAATTGCAGGTATTGTGCCTCAAGGTTTAAGAACAACTGTAGAATCAAGAAAATATCTGTTGTCTAGCACCCGATAATGTATTCTTTGACCATTTCCATATCGCTATCAAAGTCAGTTCAAGCTTTACGTCATGAATCACTGTCGCCAGATAATTCAATATCAATTTTTTGGAGCTCTTGGGAGTAAAGGACGCTGAAGAGTTACTCGGGATCTAACAATTCATAAGAAAAGTACTAAAATAATTTGTTCAAGTACTTTGGTAGCCTG